AGTCTGAGTGCTTCGGGACTACGAAAGTAAGTCAATGGTTCAAAGTATAAAAATAAATTATTGAATCGTTAATGTCCAAAAGTGATCTTCAGGTCAATAATTTTAGATTTATTATCAAATTAATGGACTGCAGGTCACTTTTAATTAATTCAATAGATCGGGACCATTCGGGGTCGATCGTAGAAGCAAAAATAATAATAATATTTGGGTTAAAATTATTTAAAATGCCAAAAAAAATAGCATTGGGTCGAAAAGAATGCAACCTAACACACTTTGGTTGGCTGCAATACACAGCCTTGCAAAAATTGCAGGCCTTAGATTACATTACACGACTGCACATCAACCCAATTTGATTGCAGATCAATGGGCCAGGAGATAAAGCCCATTAGTATAAGGGCTGCATATGTGGCATAAAGCGTGAGCAAGTGCCTAGCCTGGGCTGGCTTTTGGGTAAGATGTCGCGGGCCCGAAGCCCAGCATCAAGGAACCCAGTCAGTCGGGCCTGGTCCAATACGTGAGTAGCAAGCTCATTCAGCTTCTGGTTGATGGAAGGCGGGTAGAGACAAAAGGAAAGGCTTAGCAAGCATTAGACTTGCGATAGTGGGCCCGGCAGGCTTAAAACCTAGGTCAGAGGCATGGTCAACGCATGCAACAAAGGCCAAAGGGCTGTTACCTTATAGTTCTAGCGCCCAAGGCTCAAGCTGCAGGCTCGGCTTGGGGTGAGTTTGGCGTGACGGCACATGGCTCAACCGCAATTTTTTTTTTTTCTTTCGACGTAGTTAGGGTTTGACAAACCCTAAATGGCTTCTAATTTATTTATATTCTTTGACTCACAATTCCACATAGCATAATTGCGTAATGCATGAAACAAATATATATTGACAAATATATGAAACATATACAATATATATATCGGAAGGTAAATATAAATGTAGGGGGTTCATGCATCATGGGGAATGTTTTCATGGTCATTTCAAATATCTTACTTTATTTTAAGCGTACATGATTGGCAAAAAACGATAAAAGCCTTTGAATTTGTTGAAGATCTTTCTTGAAAAGCCGGAATTGCTTCTCCAATGTGTTGTATCACGTTCAACAAAGAAAAATTAAATTGAATCAATAGCATGTAGATCAATTCAAAAGAATAATTTAATTAATCATGAAAAGGATAATTAAAATGTAATACTCCCCTAATTGAATAATAAACTCTCTTTAGCGCAGCATCAAGAGCGTGCTAATAACGTATTGTAGGCATAATTTACTAAAGAATTATGTAGGCCATAGAGAGAGAGAAAGGTGTGGCAATAATAGAGAGAAAGAGAGAGATGTGTAATTGTGGGTGTGTGTTATTCTACTCCATTGTGTCTTTATTTATAGTAGTAGGGAAGGTTAATTCCTTACCCTTTAGGATTACAACATTTAATAGGTAATCTACTCCTAATAGGAATTTAAGATATATTCTCATATCTACTAGGATTTACACAATCATATTCATGTTCCAATAGGACTGCAACAGGTACATTATTTTTTTTTTGCTATAATTTTTGTAAAGATCAATATTACTCTAAAATTATTTTTTAAGTATTTATTTATAATTTAAAAATATTATTTGAATTTGTTTAAATTTCATGATTTGTTGGACATTAAATGCATGAGTTAAATCTCTTAAATGAGGCTAAGGATCTCGATCAAAATATTTAAACAAATAAGGTTTCAGTCTAACAATTAGGTTGATAAAGGACCGGAACCAAAATGACCCTTATAAAAAAAATGTTGAGGAATGTTGAAGATTGTCAAAACTTATCATTTGAGGCATATCATCGAGCACTTAATGAAAATAATAGAATCTCATACAAAACAAGAGAAAAGAAAGACATAAGAACGATATAAAAAATTAGAAGGAGGAGGATGAGGATGTTCTATTTCAATGTTTTTGACTTCTTATTTAGTTTGGCCTAACTGTTTATATGAGTCAAATTTGAATACACAGATAAATGTACATGAGGGTTTTGAAAATGTAAAGGTCATGAGCAACCAATGAACCAATGCTAACTCCACTAATAAGACCTCACAGTGCTGATTTCATTACACACACAAATATTCATAAACTTAAGGCTTGTTCATACGAGAGATTTATTCTTGTCATGAAAGTTTTTTTTTTTATCAATATTAATGAATGAATGAATTAGATTATATGGTACTTTATCACATGGAGTCTAATATTATGTTCAACTAAAGGTGTGTAGCTAATGACCGACCTATTGGTTCGAGATCCCAAACGCAATTTTGCATAAACAAATGTAGGGACGGTGAGCGTATCGTGGTCCATCACCATTGCAAGGTGGGAAAATGCCAAACTTTGGGATTATATATATTTAGACAAACTGTATGAAGAAGATTAAAAAAAATAAAAAAAATAAAAAAAAACCAGTCTACGACGAATCATTGTGTTACTTTACCGTTTTGTACTTTTATTCGTAACATTTAATTCTGCAATGTCCTTTGATAGTCAAAAGTTGTTTGTTTTTCAGTCTATTTAAAAATGTTGTCAAAAAAATAGAAGGAAAGAAAAATTATATATAGAGTACATTTTTAATATTTAATTTTATTATTGAGATAATATTTTTTTAAATATTTCAAGGAGAGATAAAAGTTAATACATGTAAAAAATGACATCATTTACTCTATTTTTTCTAGAATGTAAGTTACAAAAAATTTTTAAGAGAAATTTTATTTAAACTCAAATATCCTCACTTTACATTCAACTTAAATTTTAGATGTGAATGATTTTCTTATCTTATTATATAATTACTATTAAGTACAAGATATATAAATAATAAAACTAAAAATTATTAATCAACCCACACCCAATAGTCAAATATTTATCATCACGCGACCTTTTGTGAATTCGGGAAGATTAAGAAGATAGTATGACCTTTTTTCTGGGCATCCAGGTGTCCAATTTTCCTCTTCCACCTCCTACAGATGGTGATGCCTTGGAAAAAGAAGAGCGTTGCTTGAAGAGTCTTCAAGCACTTGACAAAGATGGAAGTTTGACACCTCTAGGGAGGGCCATGGCTCATTACCCTATGGATGCGTTTATTGCATCGGATTATCTCGGACTAGATTAGCTTAAGGACTAAGCTGGACTGTCTTGGCATGGACTAAGCAGGACAATAATAGTGAAGCATTTGGTGCAGTATCGGACTAAGTCATGGATTAAATTATTTTTAGAATCTAAATATTTTTTTTACTACTTTTTAATTATTTTATTAATATTTTATTACTTTTTATTCAGATATTTTCATTGACTCAATCTAGAGAGTTCCATAAGTTGCATGATCTCCAGATTTCTCGAAAAAAAATCCCTGAGCACTGATTTCCCAAAAAAAAATCTTGTCATGCAACAAATTCAAGCCTTTTCATTTCGTTTCTTCTTCCCCTGCAATTCTACCAAAAATTGCCAAGGATGCTTGCTTTCCTTGGATCTCGATAGAAACCAATTTCTCAGCCTTCCTACCAACCAAACAAAATTAAACCACGCCCCCCCCCCCCCCCCCCCAAAAAAAAAATACAGGAAATCAAAGAATTAACCTTCAGAAACACGGAGGAATTGAATCAAGGAGTGCTAGAACGAGATATTCCTCGGAGGTGAATCAAAGGACTGCTAGAGCAGGACAGACGACAGAGAAAGCGGGATCTTCCTCATTCGAAATTCTGGGTTCAAGGCGAGAGGGAGAGACTGGTGTTGGGCTAGCAGTGTATCTCGCTGAAGTTGGGAGTGGTGATGTGATGGTGGCTGTCGGTGCTCAAGAAAACAAAGAGCAGAGAGTGGACAAGGAGGAGATGAGGACAGACCGGACGAAGGGCTTAGCAGTCCCATGGTCGCGGGGCGCTCTCGCTAAGACCTCTTAGCGAGGGAGATAGTCGGAGCGAATCCCCTTTAGTCTCATTAACTTTAGTCCATACACGCAACAAACACGGGATTTTCCTAATAGCTAATCTAGTCTAGTATAGTGAAAGATAGTGAGATCAAACAAACACACCCTATGAGTCCTTGTCACTCCAGGATGCTCACTGTTATTCAAGTCTTGATTAAGAAGAAGAGTTTCAGGGCTAATTCACTGCTAATCCTTTTATGATATTAACAAATGTGAACCCAATATATGCTACATTAGCACTTAATGTCTAATTAGATCATAAAGTTGACGGAGATTTAATTTGGTACAATTTAGAAACCATGATGTGTAAACGTAAAAAATTAAACCTTCGTGGCTCATTTTGCAAATGACCCCAAAAACTTTATGATGTAAAATGTTGTTAGCTCTAAATAAATTATCAAATTACGATTTCATTTTGAGTCAATTTGACCACTGAAAGATATTCAAAATTGAATGCAAAACTGTGGAAAGCAGCTTGTTTGCAAACATTGTCCTTACATTTTATTACAATTCGAGAGGCACTCTGAAAAAGAAAATTTGATCATGCAGTCAGAAATCATTGTAAATTTTTTTATTTAAAATTAAATATAAATAGTACCTGATAAAAACTGATTGCATGGTTTACGATAAACAGATACGATTGAAGGATTTTTGGGATCCTCACAAAGAGAATCCGAAGAGGAACATGAATGAGGATCCTCTGCAGATCCTCTTTGTGAGGATCTTGATGATCATCCAATCGTATCCGTTTTTCGTATATCGTACGATCAAAAATGATTATAAATTTTTTTATTTAAAATTAAATATAAATAATAGCTTACAAAAATTAGTTACGTATAATAAACGAACATAATTAAAAAGATTATGAGATCCTCGTTCTTAAAACAACATGACTTGTACGATTTAAAATGCGTAGAAGACTCTGACTTTATGGTACCAGAGAGATTTAAATTTGGGTTTGTAATTTAGTAGGACCAGCTCTTTGCTCTTTTGACGCGTGGTCTTGTCTTGTTTCTTCGAAGCAATCTTTTCTCTCCATTTTCTAATCTGTCTCCTCTTCTTATCTCCAACAGATTTTTTCGTTTGGATTTTTCCTTTTCGTTCTGATATATTTGTCTCTCTATTTTTTGCTCCTGGGGATATTTGGTGCTTGAATTGTTGGAGGGTTTGGGATTGGGATGGAGGAGAGGTATGAGGCAGTGAAGGATCTTGGCTCTGGGAATTTTGGAGTGGCAAGGCTGGTCAGAGATAAGAAGACAAAGGAGCTTGTTGCTGTCAAATACATAGAGAGGGGAAAAAAGGTCATTGCTTTTCTCTTTTTTGTTCCTTTTTCAGTTCATTTATTTATTGTTTGAATAAAAAATTAAAATGTTTGGACTTTATTTAATTGAAATGTTACTGCTAATAGCTGTAGAGTTTGTGATGTATTTTAATTTTTGGATGATTTAAGGGTTGTGATTTTTATATCTACCTGCTGAAAGAAAAGAGTCACTGGGTTTTTGTTTGGAATTTTGTGTTTCTTTTCCCATTTAATATGATGGGATTAAAGTTTCAAAGACGGCTCAACTGCCCATGCTATTTAACATCGATATTGTCCCCAACTAAATCACCGATGTAGTCCCCTGAGGAATGGCATCAGCAAAGTCTCATGTAGTTAGCTCTTGTTGTGTGATACTGTTTTGTTTTTCTGATCCATGAAATGTTCAACTTCATACCTTATAGCTGCGTTTGTTAGAGATGCTTAGTTTGGATATGACAAATTTCCAAATATTGTCTGAGTTGAAGGCAAAAGATGGAGTATTCGTAAAGCCTGGTATATTTCTGTGAAGTCAAGCACGCTTCTGAAATATTTATGCATAAAGATAGTGTACTACTTGACTAATTCCGGTTGCATTTTAGATGTTGAGTTACAGTTAGGTAGTGCCGACTCTACAATTCTCATCATGCGGAGAGTTGTGCTCTCAACCTTTTTTGGCACATGATTGTGTTTTGTATCGCTTTAACTTCTAAGTGTATAAGTATATCCTTTTTATCATTACTTAAAGCTGGATATGCAAATTAGGGCTCAAATGCATAGCTATTGCCTTAATTGTCTACTGCACGTGTATTTTGGATAGCATTTAGTCATCTGATTCATTTCTAGCATTTTCTTCTCGTTGCGTACCTATCATGAATATATATTTTAGTAGGGATATAAATTCATTTTCGGCTTTCTGAGTTTCAGATTGATGAGAATGTTCAGAGGGAAATAATAAATCACAGATCGTTGAGGCATCCAAATATTGTCAGGTTCAAAGAGGTAACAATAACTTTGTATTGATTCGACTGTGTATTTACATGCACTTCCGGGGGTGCATGTCTCCATGTTTGTGTTTTTCCCTTCCCAGCATGTCATTGTATTATATAATTTTCGGTTAGGATAATCATCAGTCAAACTGGAAGTGATAGCGTAGAGCTAGGATAAGGCAGTCTTGCGTTGTAACTTGTACATGAACAAAAGAATCATTTTTGGCTGCAGCTCTTGCTGACTCCAAGTCATTTAGCAATTGTCATGGAATATGCAGCTGGCGGTGAACTTTTTGAGAGGATATGCACTGCTGGTAGATTTAGCGAAGACGAGGTTAGCTTGTTTAGTTTATTTGCATGTTTGATTCAAATTCCTTTACTTTTTGGTGCGTATCGAAACTATATGCAACTGTTAGTTTTTCTGACTGATTGTTTGACGGTAGTTGCCCTTCATGACAGGCAAGGTTTTTCTTCCAACAGCTGATATCCGGAGTCAGTTATTGTCATGCCATGGTATATCTATATTTGACAAACACAGAAAGATATGCGTACACATAACCAAATGTTTCCTGTTAAGAATTATAGTTTCTCTTCTTACATTTGGGTGTAATTTGACCGCAGGAAATTTGTCACAGGGATCTGAAACTGGAAAACACACTCTTGGATGGCAGTGCTTCACCACGTCTTAAAATATGCGACTTTGGATACTCCAAGGTTATTATGAATTTCTTGTTGAATAAACTTTGTTTAGTTCAGTTTACGCGGATTATTCTGGTGCTCTGTAGTCTTTTTTACCCACTTAAAGAATTTTTTGGTTAGCATCTACTTGCCTGATATGTATAATATATGTGTATATATATATATATATGTAAATTTATATTATTTACTACCTTGCAGTCTGCTATACTGCACTCACAGCCAAAATCAACTGTTGGAACGCCTGCATACATTGCTCCAGAGGTTCTGTCGCGGAAGGAATACGATGGAAAGGTATCTAGTTTCCATTTGTTTCTGCAACCAGCCTCAAAAGTTCAATCATATTGTGGGATTTTACTATATGTTGGACAAAAGTAGTTCTGATCATGTAGTAGCTTACACATAATATCATCCAAACTGATACAATCATACTACGTACCATATATTTGCTTTCTAAGTCAGTACAACTTGGTAGATTGCAGATGTTTGGTCCTGTGGTGTGACGTTATACGTGATGTTGGTGGGAGAATATCCTTTTGAGGATCCTGAAGATCCTAGAAACTTTCGTAAGACCATTGAGGTGAGCTTCACCTTCATCCCACACACACACACGTGATAGTTGTACATTGTGATCTTAATTCCAAGGGTTTTGGCTTTTAGTTCCAACAATCAATTCATTGCAACTTCTGAAACAGAGAATTATGAGTTCCCAGTACACCATACCCGACTATGTACGTGTTTCTGCAGACTGCAAGCACCTACTTTCTCGTATTTTTGTTGCCAACCCTTCTAAGGTAACATGGGTTTCTATTGTTTCATTTGTGTTCACTCGATGCACAAGAACAATGTACGGACTATGGAGATAAATGTAAGAAACAGCACTGACAATCCTTGTCATATCGTCGTTGTAGAGGATCAGTCTTCCTGAGATAAAAAAGCACCCTTGGTTTCTGAAAAATCTGCCGAAAGAGCTAATTGAGGTTGAGAGAACAAACTACGCGGTAGTGGAGCGTGACCAGCCTAAACAGAGCATTGAAGAAATAAATAAGATCATATGCGAGGCAAGGACACCAGGGGAAGGTGGATCGAAAGCAGGCGGTCAAGCTGTTGCTGGGCCGTCTGACTCTGATGATCTAGAGACTGATTTGGACGCCGAAGTCGATGTCAGTGGTAGCTTTTCAGGCTATCCGTGAGCATGATATCGGAAGGATTTGTTCTTTTTAGAGTTTGTTTACACACATAAAAAATACTTCCCTTGGACATCTCACATTTATGGTGTTGATCACATTCATGCTATACACATTTGTACAAATAATTTGAACATATTGAAGTGGGATTGAGTTATTTCCATTGTATGTAGATTGTATTTGGACATGTTTGGATCCACAATGCCCTTTTTTTTTTTTTTTTTTTTTTTTTTTTTTTTTTTTTTTTTGACTTTTGTGGAACTTTTATCTTCACAAATCAGATAGCATGATCTGCATAATTTAAAGTGTCTAGTATTTAATAAAATTTTGAATAATAATGATATTTCCAGAATGGATTGATAAAACTGGAGTAGTGTCCCAGGGTTTTAGCCCATTGAGCTTTGTTTCCTGAGCTACAAATTCATTTTGTCCAAAATAAAAGGCTGTAAAAGGCGAACAAGAGAAGGAGTTCTAGTGGCGTTGCTCAAAATATCATTGCTTCACATTGTGACAAGTTCAGAAATCAATATTCATAAAGTTTCAGTTCATGGACCAAAACTTCAATTGGATCAACGTTTAGATACCAATGTTCCAATTTTCTCGAGTTGATTATAATCATATAACAAGTGTGTAGACTTGCCTATCACTAGTGGGTCTTCTAATTAGGAGTTCATTTTGGATGGGGCAACATGATCAGTGGTTGGTCATACCACTCTTACAAAAAATTAAAGTCCCTACATTGCGACTTCATCTGACCTAAATCTGCTCCTATACTATGTGAAGTGAGAGTTCTATAAAATTTTGTTCTAGGCAATGTGACGATCTGAGAGCTGTACAAAGTCATTAAAATTATAAAAAACAGAGAGTCCTTACATCAATAGCGTTTGTAGTCCAACGGTTAGGATAATTGCCTTCCAAGCAATAGACCCGGGGTCGACTCCCGGCAAACGCACATGTTTTAAATTTCCTATTTTAAAGAAACAACAAGCGCTTGAAGAAATTCAAACTGGCTTTTTAGCCCTTTAAGATGAACTTTGCGGATCCTATCTAATAAGCGTAGCTGCTGAGTTTCAGTTTTTGAGTTTCCAGACGTACCTTAAAATTTTTTTGAGTTTCCAGACGTACCTTAAAAATTTACTAAATTTTTTGAGTTTACAAGCATAAGACTTCCTATTCACACGGAAGTTTCGGTTCCTATTGGTCAAGTACCCTAAAATAAGATTGAAGTGGCACATTAGCTCCAACGATGCAGAACCCTTAAAGATCATGTGGCATATGCAAACTTATCGTCTAATATTTGATCTGGATTTTTTTTTTTTGGCTTAAATGTCAAATAGTTCAGTTGTTACAGTCATTTGGCCAATTTAGTTCGAATATTTTCAGTTGGTCAGTTAGTCGTTGTTTTTATTTCCGTTAGTCAATTAAGGACAATTCATCCAATCTCTATTTAAAAAGTTCATAAAAAATATTACAACTTAATATAGAAAAATATTTTTGAATTAAAATAGAAAAAAAATTATAATTTCATAATGAAAAAAAAATAGATTAAACAAACCCACTTTATCATCTGCCTTGTCCTTGACCCAACCACAACCTTAACCGCACAAGCATGCAACTCGATGAACGTGTCTCTGGATCCACCTTGACATCAGCTATCACTATGCGAGTTCCATCATTGTAGTCTTGAGAAAATTAACCCGATCACCTCGTATCTTACTATATAATCAAGAAACATACCGCAATTGAGAGAGCCATATATTACCCTTTCTCTTTTTTTTTTTTTTTTTTTTTTTAATTTTAAATTTATAGAAAAATAAAAATCAATAAGAAATAATATGTATAATAGATAAAACTTCCAATATGAAAAATTATTAAGGTTGTGACATAGATTTTTTTTTAGTTTTTATTGTTTTTTTGGGGGGGGGGGGAAGAAAGCTAGGAGAAGAGAAACGTACCGCAATTGAGAGAGCCATATATTACCCTTTCTCTTTCTTTTTTTTTTTTTAATTTTAAATTTATAGAAAAATACAAATTAATAAGAAATAATATGTATAGTAGATAAAACTTCCAATATGAAAAATTATTAAGGTTGTGACATACAATTTTTTTTCAGTTTTTTTTTTTTTGGGGGGGGGGGAGAGGGAGGGGGGGCGAAGAAAGCTAGGAGAGGAGAAACCATAGGAGGAGGTTGGGAAGTTGGAGGAGAGTAATTATTATTATTTTTAATTTTATAGCAGTTTATGCATTTTCTAACCGACGATGATCAAATTGGTCAATTTAAAAACACAAGAACTAATTGATCCAATGACTAGAACACAATTATCCTTATAACATATGAGGTTTCTTTTTTTCATTAATCATCACTTCCCCCATAAATTTGTCCTTAAACAGACCTTAGAAAATATAAAATGACAATGATCCCCTGCAATTAGCTAACATATCTTTTGTAAACGAAATTAAAAAAGACAACGATAACATTGACTCAGTCGCCCAGTTCCCTATTCTGGTGTTCCCCTCTTTCTCTCCACGATCAATCCTTGTCCAAAGTCAACACCATAATCTCCAAGCTCAATTCTTTACCCTTAATCCAGACCACAGACCCTAAATCGCCTTCCGGGTCTCACTCTTCTCCCCCAATTCTCAAATGGGTCGGAAGCAAAACGACCCAGAAGCCACCCATTACTTCTCTTTCGTCCTCCTCTTGGTGGTTTTGGTTTCCTGTGCTCTGGTCTACACATTCGTCTCTGCGGTGCTTAAACCCAATGACGCCTCTTCATTCTCGGAGCTCGAGTCGTTGACGTTGGTTGAGGAGGGCAGCGGCGTTGGGGTGGAGGGGGAGAGTGGTGGCGGATGTTGCAGAGGGACTGAGAATTTGGAGCTGTGGGGGGCTGCCGTGAAGTGGGGTTCTGAGTTTAAGTTCAGTTCTTCTGAGGAATGCTGCAAGGCGTGTAAATCCATGTGTACTGGGACTGATGGGCCTTGCTTGTGTGATTCTTGGGTGTTTTGTGGGAACAAGGAGGCTTGCGGCTCCAAATTTGGTGAGGTAATTTGAATCTGGGCACTGGAATTTTGCCCAAATGAATTAACTTTTGATTATTAATTTCGAATGTTTACGACGAATGTATCCAATTTATGTGTAAGTTTTGATTTGGATGGCATTATATAAGCTCAATAAGTCTTAATCTGTGTAATTGATTTCTTGAGCATATTTTCAAAGTCTGAAGAATAATTAGTCTGCATTTTCCTATTTGATAAGGTTGCATCTTTGGATTATGTTTTGTCAAATTTATTCCATATTTCAGTTCATTAACTTGAACTTCTTTTTGGTTGAAACTTTGTCACTTCAGTGCTGGTTGAAGAAACAGAAAGATACATTGGCACCACAGCGCCAGGAAGTAGGGGAAACAGTTATGTGGACTTCTGGACTCATCTTTGGGAAAGGAGAGGTATGGAAGTTTGGGGAGCATTTGTTTTTATTAATTAATGTGACCTTTGTATACTGAATCTTGTAGTCATATTTAAGTTGATTTGTTCCCACATGGAATGTTAATCAGTAGAACTATTGGAGTTTATGGAATTTCCATTATATCAGTTCCTATAAGAGGCAACTAGATTTAGTTACGTATCAATTGGCAATCAGAACGTATATGGGTAGAGCTTATAGTGGGGTTTTGGAAAACATGTAATTTCTGTTGGGCCTTGATAACAAATCCAGTCTTAAACTAAGATTTCTAGTAGCTATCCCAAATTCAAGATGATCGTGTTTTACCTCTTCCTTGGAGAAGAAGATAAAATAATTCCCAATCATGGTCCTTGCAGATCAGATGATTCATATAATATACAAAAAAAAACTCTAGATAAGTGATTGATTTTTTGTCTTTGAATGAGATCTCAATTTCAATGATGATTTCGGGTGGCCATTTTACCAGAGGTTTGTATTGTATCAATCTAAAGTATATGGGTAACCCAATAATGGAAGTCTCATTACAACAGATAAAAAAGTTACTCTAGGGATAACAAGCTCATCAGGTTGTCACGCCTTTTGTGCAGATCAGAACTTACCTAATTCTGATCTTGCTAACGATCTAGATTCATATCAGAATCCCTAAGTATAAAGTAAACTTTTTAGCAATTGAAGACTCATTCAGATAAAACAGAAAGAATACTTGATATCTTTACATCCAGGATTTTTTACATCATTCATGCCTATCAATTTGCACATGGAATGCAAATGTAAAAGTTTGACTAATATGCCTATCAACCTTTTTTTTTCCTCCTTCATTTTAGTTCTAGTATGCTCATCTTGAGCGCATGTCCCGCTGCTGCTAGTTTCTCAGCTACTGCATGTGCATTAGTGTTGTTTTCAGTCTGCCAGAAAATTCTATCTCGTTTGTCTCTTTGTTTTACTTGACTAGTTATTGCCACTTTTATAATCGAAAATTCCCCAAAATAAGAAATGAAGCTAGAAAGATTTAGACAAAGAGGATAGCGGGTTGTATGTGTATTGTATAGTATGAATGTTTAACTTTCTTTGTGCAACAAACAGGCATGCCTAGTAAACCATTAAGTTTTACCAACTTCTTTGTACAAAATTTCTGCATTTTCCCCTAATGATTTGTGCCACATGCATTTCATGAAATGAAACTAAAGGTTCGATTCTCTAGATAAAGGGGCAGAAGCATCATTGTAGCTTTTATCATCTTAACAACTCCACTACAAAAAGTAATGCAGAGATCAACAATAATTTGACATTGGAGTTTGACGAGCAGTCAACAGAGAATGTATGATTAACTTAATATACTACTTGTGTAGATTATGTAGTCAGAAGTCAACCATTTTTGTAGATTATGTATCTTGATTTCTTCGTTTGTTGTTGGTTTTCCAGAAATTGGTTGTATGATGGTATGACCAACTTAATATGCTATTGATGTGCCTATCTTTTCTCTTTCTAGGGCATTGTTGGCTTGGAAACAGAATATGGAACTCTTCATATAAAAGTAAGGGTTGGTGCCTTCAGAATTTTTAACTCATTTTTTCTTATTTCGTTTTGGATACAATAGACGAAAATGCTATTTGCAAATGGAACATGAATCGTTATGGCCAGAGGGAAATTTAAAATGCACCAGTCAGAGTGCAACCTCTGGAGTTAACTTTTGCGTACATGAATTTATGTTTGTGTTATATTTCTGACTTGGTTCAATAACTCAAGAGAGGTTTCGTAGACATTGCTAAAAATTCGGTATTTCCGTGAAACTCGGTTCTTGTTTATGGCTCTTGCCCTCTTGTTTTAACAATGAATGAATAACAACATGAGAGAACATCATCAAGATTAGAAATTTCCCTTGACAAAACAACAAATTCTTTTGAAAAGTAAACTTCAAAAATTTAAGCCTTTTGTTTCGCTTAAAAATAACCAAAAACGAAAAAAGAAAAAAAAAACAGTATTTTTAAAATTGGTGTAAATTGAGATGATGTGGTATATGTGCACATTAAATGATATGATTTTGTAATCTCTCATGTTCGGATATACTAAAGTGTTATTTATTAATCCCAAAAGAATAATGTACCGAATTATATCTGTTCATTGACGTTTTGTTGTTTTGATCTTGTGTTACTTGCTGTTACGATTTGATAAGCTGTATACCTCTCACTTAAAAAAGACGTGGAGTTTGTCGTTTGGCATGTTGTAGGGATATGCAGTTCACACATAGTGCTGATTTTTACCACTCAGCAAATGCCATATTTTTGTTCTTCATTTATGTTTTGTTTGATTTATGACATACACTAATAATTTCTAGTTTTATATATTAATTTGTGCAGCTTTTCCCTGAATGTGCCCCTCATTCTGTAGCCTACATTCTTGAGTTGTTGGCATTGCGCCATTGTGCAGGCTGCCAGTTTTATCGTGCAGAGAGCCGAGGGCAATCATGGGATTCAGAAGGAAACCACATAAAAAATGTAAGGCTTGATTAAATTGCTTGACTTCAGTCTAAAATTGATGATATGCATTTGTTAGTTCTGCTGTGTTGTTTATTACCTTGAATGCCCTTTCGCATCTGAATACATGCTAGTTTATGGGAGAAGGGCCACGTACGCTTTGCAATCCCAATACTGCACTTAAGAACAGGGGAAATAAACTAATTTGATAACTTTTCCTGTGTGAATTTGATAGACTCCTTTTGGCCCTCCATTTGCACTGGTTCAAGGAACACTAGAAGCCCAAGGAGGCACATTTAACAAGATTCCGACTGAAGTTTGCCCGACCATTAGAAGGGGTTCCATAGCGTGGATTGGTTCTGGCCCAGAATTTTTCATAAGCCTAGCAAATCACGAAGAGTGGAAAAAAGACTACACTGTCTTTGCTTCTGTTCTTCCAGAAGACATGAACATCGCCGAGAAAATTGCTCAACTTCCGACCACTCCAGAGGTTTGGAACAGTATCAATGTGACCGTCTTGGAAAAGCCCGTTCCCTTGCTTCTGCGAAGAATCAAGACGAGTCATGGAGATCTCACTGCAAACATGAAATCAAATTAAAAGAATCTATACAATACTGGTGTTTATACACGATGAAATCAGTCCCTTCCGACGCTGTTTTATCTTATTATTCTAAGTTAAACTTTATACATATATGAGATATAATACCTAGATCGTTTGATCATGGAAATGTTGAGAGGCAGGTTTTTGCTTATGTTGCTGTTTATGTTTTCCTGCCTTTTCTCTCATTTTGTCGAAGTTTGTGTCTTGCTGGTTTCACTTCACTTAAACAAAATGTAGTGTTTCCTTGTTAAACTGGAGGCTCATTTGGAAGTGCTTTTTAAAATGACTGAAAGCGCTTTCAGAGAATGTTTTTAGGTTCCAAAAGTACTTAAAGTGCTTCCTGCAAAAATTATTAGTTGTAGGAAACACTTTAAGTGCTTATACAAAATTCACTTGTAGTTTTTCAAAAGATTTGTTCCAAAAACAATTTTACAAAAAAGCGTTTTTAGCCATTTTAAAATGTAGTTCCAAAAGCGAGGTCTTACACGACTTACACAAAACTTTAATGAAAATTAAAACAAGTAAAACTGATTGCATGGTCAAGAATTCAATCAAGAAAGATCAACGGTTCAATTCTATTTTAAAATCAAATGCTTGAAGCGACCCGCCAACCATCATAGATGGATAGGTTTTGATACCAATTTAGTTCTAAAACTCTTTAGCTATGTTTGGGGTTAGGGATTTTTACTCTCAATGGATTTTCAAATCTCAAGGGATTGATGTCAAACTAGTAAGGAATGAATAAAGGATTAGAAAATTCTCCATATGAGCATTACTGATACATATAAGAGGAATTAGCAAATTCTTCTTACGTCTTTTTGTAATGCTGGTATAGAGAATCTTCTAATATTGACTATTAACTCTTTATGGTTCATTTCTTCTAATTTGACTTTAATCTCTTAACAACTTGAAAATCTTGAATCCAAACATAGCGTATTGGACAATATATGCGAGTGACACTGCCATAATGGTATCCATGTGGAATAGCCGAATAGGTCTGAATTAACTATAACAAAATGAACGAAATGGTCATAAAGTATATTTCATCAAATATAAACCCATAATTCGAATCTCTTTATTCATCAATTATCTTATATAGCTTATCACATGACTTGTCACGTAACGAGAGAAATATCCTGTGATTTCTTATGAATTATCTATCTCCTTAATGGCAATTTGGTAACTAACGTTGACCGCCCAAACGGTCAAAACCCCCTCCAAACAGTTGCATACGAACTCCCCCGTGAGTCCGTGACCCTGAAAAACCCTCTCAAAGCTTGGTTTTGGTCTCCCTCCACTCTCCGACTCCTCTCTCTCTCTCTCTCCCGAAATGGTCCAATTCCACGAGCACATCATAACCGAACTCCTCGACGATCCTCAAAACGGCAGCGGCCTCGTCGTTCTCTCCTCCGGCCTCTCCCTCCCCAGACTCATCGCCGCCCTCCTCCTCCTCCACACTCCTTCTCAGGGCACCCTCCTCATCCTCTCCCCCCACCAACCTTTCTTCAAATCCCAACTCCTCCACCACTTCCACCCCAACCCCATCCCCGAAATCTCCGCCGACCTCCCCTCCCACCACCGCCACTCCCTATACACCTCCTCCAATGTCTTCTTCATCACTCCCCGCATCCTCATCGTCGACCTCCTCACCAGCAAATTACCCACCTCCCAAATCGCCGGAATCATCATCCCCACCGTTCATTCCCTCACTGAAACCTCCACCGAAGCATTTATCGTCCGGATTTTCCGCTCCCTCAACAAAACGGCGTTTGTTCGCGCGTTTTCTGACAAACCCCATTCCATGGTTTCTGGGTTTGCCAAGGCGGAGAGGATTATGAAGTGCTTGTACCTCCGGAAGATGCACCTCTGGCCGAGGTTCCATGTGGATGTGTCGCAGGAGCTGGAGAGGCAGCCGCCGGAGGTGGTGGATATACGGGTGCCAATGACCAAACACATGGTGGGAATTCAGAAGGCGATAATTGAGGTGATGGATGCTTGCTTGAAGGAGATGAGGAAGACCAATAAGGTTGATGTGGAGGATTTGACGGTGGAGAACGGGTTGTTTAAGTCGTTTGATGAGATTGTGAGGAGGCAATTGGACCCCATTTGGCATACCTTGGGGAAGAAGACTAAGCAGCTCGTCTCCGATTTAAAGACTCTTAGAAAGCTCTTGGATTATCTTGTCAGGTACTTGCATTGGGTTTGTGTTTTTGATTGATAAGGCCGATACGATTCAACTAGTATTTGAGATTTTGTTTTAGCTTTAGTTTTCGGAGAAATACATTTTGGGTCAGTAGTGGCAATCGATTAATGAAATGTTCTTGTTTCGGTAGATATGATGCGGTAACTTATTTGAAATACTTGGATACACTACGCGTGTCAGAGAGTTTTCGATCAGTCTGGATATTTGCAGAGTCAAGCTATAAGATATTTGAGTATTCAAAGAAAAGGGTGTATCGGTTTGTGACATCAGATGGTGTGAAATTAAGTGATAAGAGTAAAAGTTCGAAAGGCAAGAAAAGAAAACTGAAAGGGGATGATGATAATGAGCAAGGTGAGGAATTATTACTGTGTGTGGTGTTATTCAGTTTTTATATTGTGTTTTTTGAACTTTTCTTATTTGCATATGTAACAGTTGGAGGCACATCGTCGACCAGTACAAGTAGTAGGATAGTTTTAGATGAAGTTTTAGAGGAGGCACCAAAGTGGAAGGTTTTACGTGTGAGTGAGTGAGTTCCCATTTCTATGTTGTTATATTGTTATTCGTCTTTCATGAATGCACAGCCTGGCTGATCAATGTACCATAACACCTAATAGTTGTGATTGAACCCTAATTTCTTTCTTATGTCAGTTGTCACATTTAATTCTATTGTTACTGTTAGAATGGCCATAGGGATGGTAGTGAAGTTGATAAAATAATTTTATCAACATTTCAATGTGTTAATTTAATTCCAGGAGGTTCTTGAAGAGATAGAAGAGGAAAGGCGACAGGCTTCGTCAAGAGAGGAACTTTTGGTTGAAGGTGATGACGATTATAGTGGTATTGTTCTAGTGGCATGCAAAGATGAACGTTCATGCATGCAGCTTGAAGATTTCATCACCAATGGACCACAGAAGGTTTTTTTTTTGCCCTTAATTTTTAAAAAAATTTAAAATTTTTATGTTCAATTTGAAGTGTTAGGTTAACTTTGTTTCTTTGGACTTGTACTGTATATAAACTGTCCTATAAATGAAATCTGGAGACTTGCAATTGTGGTGATCTCAGACACTTCTGCTGATTAAGTGGGATTTCTGCTTGTTTGACATGCTTGCTTGGTCTTGTTGACAAATAGGTGCTAGTATTTTGAGAATCAACACAAAGGATATGCAATCGTGGTCTTGATTTGATTGTTTAGAGGTTTAACTTTAACCTAAATCTTCAAACACACAAGCTCATGTTAATTTCGATGAAATTATAACTCGTATGTTAAGACATTTTGTTCTTAAGGAAAGTGCATTTGTGAATAGGTTTCTGGGCATTGTTGTGCAAGGATATCGTTAATTATATGGTTCCACACATTTTCTGCAACTCTTTAAGCAGTCTAAGATTGTATTTCTGTTTTCTATTATTTAAATATCAATTGGCTTTTCAGAATCAATTATGCATAAGCTTATATAAAAGCTTATCAACCAATTGATGGTGTATTTTCTTGTGAAGGTCATGCGGGAGGAATGGGAAAACTACTTGCTAGGAAAGGGAGAGCTCCGTGACTTGCATACACGGTATAAAAAGAAATCAAAGAATCCCAAAGGTTTTGGGGTTCTAGATGGAGTTGTTCACGTAGCACCCCCACAGAATGCAGAAGCTAGCAGCGTAAACAAGCAGGAACACGATGCCCTTTTGGCTGCAGCTGCTGAAATTAGAAAGCGAGCTAAAAAAGATGATGCTGTTGGAGATGATCCTCAGCTTCTTGTTAGTGGGAGAGGACATGGAAGGGGAAAGGGAAGGGGAAAAGTAGTTCCTTCAAAATCCCCACAGAATGCAGAAGCTGGCCGTGGAAACAACCAGGAACATGATGTGCTATTGGCTTCATCGTTAGAAATTCAAAGGAAAGCCGAAAAAGATGATGCTGTTGGAGCTAATCCTCCTCTTCTTGTTAGTGGCAAAGGACGTGGAAAGGGTAGGGGAAAAGTAAGGACCAAAAACAGCCTTGCCAAGGTTAAATGTTTGGGAATAAAGCCAGTAATAATGATAAAAAAGAATTCATACCTGATGATCTTGTTATACCGGATTCAGAGGATGAAGGACAAGAATATGAACTCAATCAGGTGGTGACTGCTGATTCTACTGAACCTACATGCCAGATTGACCCTGTAGATGAAGGGGTGTTGAGGAAGCATACTGGAGTAGCGGATTCAACTGGAACAATAAATGCTAAGCCACTACCTCCAGTTCACTTTTATGCTCTTGAAAGTGGTCAACCTATACTGGACATTTTGAGACCCTCTATTATCATTGTTTACCACCCAGATATGACTTTTGTCAGAGAAATTGAAGTTCATAAAGCTGAGAACCCCTCAAAGAAGTTGAAAGTTTATTTTATTTTCTATGAAGATTCTTCTGAGGTGCAAAAGTTTGAGGCGAGTATAAGAAGGGAAAATGGAGCGTTTGAATCTTTGATTAGGCAGAAGTCACTAATGATGATACCAGTTGACCAGGTTTGATTTTTTCTTTTCCTATGGAGAATCTTCTTTGGGACTGTTTGTTGCAAATGTACTGGTATTTATATCAATGTTTACATTCCATTTCTGGTATTAATATTGCAGTATTATAATTAAGACTCACGACTGGAAATGTGAATTCTCTTCAGTAAACCAAACAGAGATTATGAAAACTGTTTAGGATTTCTATATACTTATTTCATAGTGCTCAACCTTTAGCGTTCTGCATGGACCGTATGAACTACTGCACTATTACAATTTCTTTAAGCTACTCCCGAGTATACAAGGAAGAGTAGTTTCTTCTTTTTAATACGTAGCTGCATGTATGTTTTATGTATTTGTTCTTTTGGCTATAATCATTTAAGCATACACTACTGGGTTAAATATGTGGTACTTAAAGACTGATTTCCCAGTGGGCACTTGTCTGTCTGTATAGCATTTTTCAACAATGTATCTTGAATCATTTTATGAATTTTGAATATTACAGTCGATATCTGCGTGATACTTATGTTTCTATATCTGTGCGTCTCTCCTCAATTTGACATCAGGATGGGAACTGCTTGGGATTGAATTCTTCCCAAGAACCGCAAGCTTTGTCATCCCAAAATTCTTTAACCAGAAAAGCGGGGGGAAGAAAGGTTGCTGAGAAGGAAATGCAGGTGCATTCTTGATCATGTGTTATATTTTGTATCTCCTTTACTAGAAGGCCAGTGTTTGTTAAGACTTCTCAATCTTTCAGGTCATAGTGGATATGAGAGAGTTCATGAGCAGCCTTCCAAATGTTCTTCACCAGAAAGGCATGCGCATAATACCCGTAACTTTGGAAGTTGGGGATTATATCCTTTCTCCACTGATATGTGTGGAGAGAAAGAGTATCCAAGATCTCTTTATGAGTTTCACATCAGGTCGTCTTTATCACCAAGTGGAAACAATGGTTCGATACTATAGAATACCTGTTCTTCTGATTGAATTTTCACAGGATAAAAGTTTCTCCTTTCAGGTAAATCTGAATCATATCTTTAGAGATTGTTTACTTGGTCGGCCTAATGCTAAGATGGTATATGTTGCTGGATATTTGGTTGCAGTCCGCAAGTGATATTGGTGATGATGTCACACCAAATAGTATTATATCTAAGCTGTCGTTGCTTGTTCTACACTTCCCCCGGTTGCGAATCATTTGGTCTCGCAGTCTGCATGCTACTGCTGACATATTTGCTACTCTTAAGGCAAATCAGGATGAACCTGATGAGAGCAAAGCAACTAGAGTTGGTGTACCCTCTGAAGATGGAATTGTGGAGGATGATGTGAGGTGAGATGCAACTCGTTTTTGCATGTTGTAATCGTAGCTTCTTAAGCTTGTAGTCAAATCTTTCATACTCCTAGAGTAGGCATAGGGAGAACTAACTATTTTTTAGCATAGCACGTGGTCTACACAGGGCCCTCCTTATGCATTTTTTCATTCAATAAAAATAAAATCATCAGTGCATATTTATGGTGATAAAAATATTTAGTCACCAGTGATACGTGTTCCGTGAGAGGGAATTGTATTAGCAGAACCACATCAGTCGTTCCCTGTCAAATACTTGAGTCACTGACCTGACCATGGAATGCCTCGTCATTACTTGAGCTTTGGTTTGTTTGTTCATCACTTCTTACTCAAAATGTAAATCTGAGGGGGTGCTGTAAATTTTCAGGGCTGAAAACTACAATACATCTGCGGTGGAGTTTTTGAGACGACTCCCTGGTGTTACAGATTCAAATTACAGGGCCATAATGGATGGGTGTAAGAGCTTGGCAGAACTCGCTCTTATGCCGGTGGAGAAGCTAGCGGAACTAATGGGCGGTCAGAAGCTGCTCGCACTCTCAGAGACTTTCTTGATGCCAAGTATCCAACCTGTTATGAAGATTAGCAGTCATCATAATACATATCTAATGTATTCATTGGTGTATCATTGCAGTGATTATTTAGCTTACGATTTTGTCATTTGAATATTGTTGTTGGGTTTAATTCTTTTTCATTTGGCAATTCATTGTATAATTTGTTGTAAGCACAGGATATTTATGAGGAAACTTGTTGAACACCGAGGATTTTGATTGCGACTACCCTTGTCATTAGAAACTAGTACTGTGTTTGCTAGGATGTGACTCCCTTGTGCAAACCCACATTCCCAGTTTCCTACTAATAACATGGAAAGCCTATTTTTAGATTGTCTTATTTATTTTTATCAGGAAACTTGCCACTGGATCCAATAAATGGTCCAAGAATTCTACTGTAACATTGTTTTGGCATTTCCTTGAACTACTGATTTGTTTTTGTGCTGTTTGTCTCATGCATAGTAGTTTTTGAAAGGAAGCATTTCCGGTTTCTATCTCCCATACACTTACTTGAAAAAGGAACACAAGGCAAGTTGAACTTCCCTCAGACTCAGTTGATCAGGTAGTTTCTGCGTGTTTGTGTATGGAGGAGGCCTCTACTTGGTTTGGTATAAGTATCTTATTACTTATGTCGAACCCTTCACATGATGGCCAAATTCTATGTTGCTTCACTGTGTTTAACTTTGGGTTCTGTCACTAGACAGGCCCCGATAATCCAGCATATGCAACGTCACTTACAGAATCTAATATTTACTTTATATGACAGGTTGGAAGAGTGGCCGGCCAGTTTGCAAAGCCTAGGTCTGAACCATTTGAGGTTAGAGATGGTGTGAAACTCCCAAGTTATCGGAGAAACAATGTCAACGGTGATGCTTTTGATGAGAAATCTAGAAGACCTGATCCACAAAGGTTACTCAGAGCGTACCTCCAGTCTGTTGGCACACTGAATCTCCTTAGAGCATTTGCCACTGGTGGGTATGCTGCCATGCAGAGAGTCTCAGATTGGAATCTGGACTTTTAGAGCATAGTGAGCAAGGAAACAGGTATCTGTTATAAATCATATCTTGATTTTCATGTTGGAACACTTGCAACATATCTTTTGGCTATCTGGCAATTAGCCAGCACTTCTAGGCATCTTGCATCTCCATCTGACCCAGAAAGCTACATACAAGTCGAGCACCATATCGGTAGTCTTAAATGTTGTCGGTTATACTCTTCATGTTCTGGAGCGTGCAACAGATTGCAAAGATTTGGTTCTTCTTGTATAATTAAAGCTCTGTTGTGTCCTTGGTAAAATTAAGTTCTTTATCATTTGCAAATACTGGTGGAGTCAGACACCTAGAAGTTTCTGCTACCATTTTTACGTGACCCAGATTCTCTATTCTCGTGCCCTGGTAGAAATTGTTGGTGTGAAAAAATACACATTGACGAGTTTTATTCTGCTGAGTAAATTTTACCTGGCCGAGGATAGGTACGTGGAATTTGCAGAGAGAGTAGATGAAGCTATTGGTTTCCTTAGTGCTGCTGGGGCTACTGGAGACAATCCAATGGACGCAGCAGAGCTTGTCAAATTGTGTGAAGTTCGTAATCCTCATAACAAACCTGGTAGACGGACAATAATTACCAGGATGGGGGCACAGATCCCCGTTTGATCAGAGCTGTGCGTCAGGCAGGGTTTTTCGTCACATGGGTTGGTTGGATAACAGATTGGTTGAGGAATGACAGGTTAAAACCTAACAATGATTGTCAAGGTCAATGGCACTTCTGCAGCGTAAGCTTTTATAACTTCATCGATTTGTTGCTTCTTGGAGATAATTTTATGTTCCTACTTGTAAAATCTGAGAAATATTTTCTTCTTTTCTAGCGATCGAAGAGGTAATGAACTATATTATATGGCATAATGCCTCTCTTTAGTCTTTGCCTCGATCTGAAAAATAATAACACTGTGGTACTCAAAGTCTTGTATCAACGTAGCGTGTTATGTTATCATGTAAATTGTCATGTCGAGCATGGCAAATAAATGACTCGTTGCAACCGTTCTTGGCAAAAACTGATACATGAAGCAGGATGGTGTTTATGACAAAAAGGGCACAATCTGAAATTAAGAATTGACATGAATACCGGAGATGGGATTCCGGTTCCGGTTACTAGTTAACCCTAGCTTTTATTGAAAAAAATGGCTCTACTTGTGCCTTGTGCCCTTCAGTAGCATAGTTCGAAAGATACAACGTCCATTTTTATTCTTTAGAGGGTATGCAAACTTTGGAGCTCATCGGGAAGAAGTTGTAGAGAACGATAGATAAATAACTTCATATTCCATTGGTTATAATTAGTTAACGTACCAAAAACTCGTATCAAAATCTCAAACCTATTTGTATTAAAGGAAGAAAATATAGACGTGTAGACTAGGCAGTTGGTAATAAAATGTGCCTGCCAACTTTCACCTTAGTTTGAATTATTCTAAACTTTGGCTATGAGAGATCAAAATTTAAACTACAAACCAAATAATGTGGAAGTTGATGATTAGATTATTGCGTAGTATTGATTTTATGTGCTTATTTCCTATTTCTGACACATCATTTGATTTGGAAATTTGGTTTAAAAATTTAGTCTCCCTAGTATTATCCATTTACAATTGCATTGTTGCAAAAGGAAACAACATACTACAAGAACATTCACCCGAAACAAGGGAAATTACTATAACAGAGCAACGAAATAGGATCCTATCCGAATCCTTATTGGTGAGAATCCTAGGGATTAGTTTATCCTATTCATTCATTAGTCATCTTGAGGCAAGAAATTATTTTGATTTTTTTATTTAAAATTGAACACAAACAATACTTAACGAAAGCTGACCGCACGATGTACGATGAACAATGAACGGCTAAGATGAATTGATCTCTAAGATTCTTAGAGCAGCTCCACCGGAGCTTTTTTAGCCCAGCACCAAGTCCAAATAACAGCCCGGCATGCAGGGAAAGTGCTCCAGCCCGCCAACTTGCCTGGCACCCAGCCCGTGCCAGTCAAGAGCCCAGCCCAAAATGGACAGACCCATTCCCCGATCTGTTTCTGGCGCGTGCACAACACGCGGGAGGCGTCGCGAGTAGCCGACAGCTTTGCAGGCGGTGGGGCCCGCGCGGCAGGGCAACTTTCAGTCGTCCGGGGTGAAGGATACGTGGCCTCCTCATAGCCGTTGGATTTCCAACGGCTAGTTTTTTAGGCCGTTGGATTTCCAACGGTAAAAAAAATTTGAATTTCAATTTTAAATTGGACTGTCCGATCACAGATCAACGGTCCACGTTTATTTCACCAAAAATTTTTAAAAAAAAAAAAAAAAGGCCCAATGGTCAGAAATTTGACCGTTGGCCACGTGGCGTAATGAGTGCTGTTGGATTTGATTATTTTTCAAATCCAACGGTCCCGATTAATTACAACATTAAAATTTATTAAAAATTAATTAAAAAATGTCAAAAAAATTTTAAAAAATACAGAAAAATTTTAAAAAATTAATTTTTTTTTTCTATAAATACCTAACCCTCATCTTCCACCTTACACCACATTTCAATATTTTCTACACTTTCTACACTTTCTACATTTGAATATTTTGTACACTTTGAGAGAAAAAAATGACTTCGTGGAAGCTCAGTGAAGATGTTACGTTGTGTGAATGTTGGGTTTGCACTACTCATGACCCGATTACGGGTAATGAGATGGATAAGCGAGAAATGTGGAGTAAAATTACGAAATCGTTCAATGATGTACATGGAAAAGATGCCAGATCTAGTCAAGGTCTTCAAGGTCGTTGGAAAAAACTCAACGCATCCTTTACTTGTTGGAAAAACGCCCTCTCTCATGCTTCTGGTAATTTGCGTAGTGGGACAAGTTTAGCGGATGAGGTAACAATATTTTTATTTATTTATATGCATTCCACCCGATTTGATTATTTTAATTTATTTAATTTCTTATGTAATTTTTATGTAATATGCATTCCAAATACTTATGTAATTTTTATGTACTTTTTATATAATTTTTATGCATTCCACAATTCTTATTTAATTTCTTATGTAATTTTTATGTAATATGCATTCCAAATTATGTAATTTTTATGTAATTTTTATATAATTTTTATGCATTCCACAATTCTTATGTAATTTTTATGTAATTTTTATAGACACTACAAGCACAAACATTCTACAATGCAAAGAACCATAACAAATCATTCAACAAATGGGAATGTTGGCAAATTGTCAAAGATTGCCCTAAATACCAAATTGTGGCAACCGGTCCAGAAGTTGTCATGCACGGTATGGGTCTACACAGTTCGCCAGAAGCAGACACAGCCGAACAAGAAGCCAACACATTTGAAGACACGGAAGGGATACCTGAACAAGTGCCAGAGACCCAACCGACTCGTCAGTCCCTCAGGCCTCAAGGTAAAAAGGCATCAAAGAAAAAAGGTAGTTCTTCCAAAAATGACTACACTAAATATATGGAGGAACTTACTCGTCAAGGTGAAATGAACATGGCATGGGAAAAGGCTAGAGATGAGGAAAAAGCTGCTGCTGTGGCAGCAATTATTGCAGCTACTGAGGCTCGTGATGCGGCGTCTGAGAGACAAAGAGAAATAGTTAATCGAGAGAACGAGATGATTAGAGAAGCACTTCATCGAGAGAATGAGATGCTTAGAGAAGAAAGGATGGCTCAAACAGATCGTGACACTATGAACAAGTCTCTAGTAGGACTGTCTCCGAATTCAAAATATTTTTGGACATCAGAAAAAAGAGATGTCGTGCGAAGGAGGCGTGCAAGAGATGCCGAAACAAGTCAAGGGGGTTCCAGCTACAGAAATCCTAGCAACCAAGATCCTAGCACCACATATCCTAACTCCACAGACTTTGTATAATTTCGCATTTATTTGTACTACTTTACTTAATTTCTTATGTAATTTCTTATTTATTTTTAGAACTTTATTTAATTTCTTATGTAATTTCTTATTTATTTTTAGAACTTTATTTAATTTCTTATGTAATTTCTTATTTATTTTTAGAACTTTATTTAATTTCTTATTTATTTTTAGAACTTTATTTAATTTCTTATGTAATTTCTTATTTATTTTTAGAACTTTATTTAATTTCTTATTTATTTTTAGAACTTTAAAACACCATTTAAACTTAAAACACCAAATAAAATTACATAAAACACCATTTAAACTTAAAACACCATTT